AGAGTCCCTTTTATCTTTTAGTGGAGGCTATATATAAAAAATATCCACCCCCACAATTTCCCACAGCTGGATCAGCTTATCTTTTCTCATCAAGAAGTTTGAAGGTCAAACCACCTCATCTCCAAGGAAAAACAGACAATTGCAATATTAACTTTTTGCCACAAGATGTCCTCAGTAGGTTACAAAATCTTTCCCAGACACCATTTTCCCCCCTTTCTCTCTCTTTTAAAAGAAAAGGTGGAGAAAGAGATATTCTTCCATATAAGGTGATAGTGAAGCTCTAATTTTTTTTCTTTTTTTCTGTACCCCAAAGTAAATGCAAATAAAATATAGTCATTAAAATTACTTGATCTGTCCTTTTGTTCAAACGCCTTTCTTCCCACGCATACAAATGCCGCTCTTGCAAGGCAGGGAATTAATTCCAAGAAAGCTTTTACAGGTAAAAAATAAAATAGGGTGAAGAGAGGAGAAGGAGAGGTCTCACCCGGATCATATGTGGTGGGTCTTTATGCATAGATGTACCTGTGACTTTTGGCTGGTGCAGCTAAGGAATCGCCATCTTGCAGGACAACCTTTGCTCCGTCTGCCCTAAGTAGTTAGCTGGAGCCACAGAAGAAGCTGCCGCGATCAACATCTGTTCTAAACACACTCCTGCTGGCACAAAAGCCAACTGTGTTGCCCTGGGGCCTTGGTACCTTTTCTGGGAAATTCTTCTTGTGGAATGTCCCTCTGGCAATCTTTACAGATGGCGGTGATGTGGCCTTGCTTTCCACATGCCCGGCACATTGCTATGTGGAATCTGCACTTTGAGCGTCTATGTCGGCCTCCATAGCCCATACATCGAGTGAAGGGAACTTCCTTGTCAAGAGGCCGATGAACTCTTGCTGGTGATTTCTGCAGATCGATTTCGTGGTCCATGTCAGGGACCTCGTCTCTCTCCACATCCTCATGGTGGATGGTTTCTGGACTAGGAGTGTTCTTGGAGGGCTGTAAAGCTTTTACGGCTCCCCCAGTGGCTTCTTTGGCCATGGTTTCCTTTAGGGCGTCTTGGAATGATAAAGTCTCTTTTGCGAACAACTTCTGCTGAAGATCCCTGTTCCTCAACCCACAAAATAAACGGTCTCTCAGTCTCTCTTCGAGGTCTTGGAAATTGCAGAGCCAGGACACCTGTCATAGAGCAGCTATGAACTCGGCAGAAGATTCGCCTGGTTGTTGCTCCCTTTGTTCGAAAGTGTGTCTCCAGGCAATGACTGAGAGCTTCAGTTCGAAATGATCTTTGAGCATTTTCTTGAGCTCAGCGTAGGTGACCGATTCAAGTGTGGCTGGTGTGACCAGGTTTTCGGTGATATCGAACGTCACCTGGCCGTACACGCACAGCAGCCTTGTGGCCTTTAAGCCATCTTCGCTAATTTGGTTACCTCTCAGGTAGTTCTCAACTCGTGACATGTAAGAGCTCTACCTCTTGGGATGTGACACATCAAACTCTGACAATTTTCTGAGCTTGCCCATGGTGAGCTGTCTCTGACCTTGCAATGCCTTGTGCTGCTAAGGCTCTGTTTTTGGGCCTGGGGATGGGTCCCTTAGGGCATTGGCCTCCAGCGTTGCTTGCTGGCAGGCAGAGAGGGGAATGTAGTTCCTTCCAGGGCGCTGAGGCCTGGTCTTATCCCTAGTGACTTCTGGCTCTTTATTTTTTGCAGCACATCCCACCTTCATCACCACTGTTATGTTTCTAGTTCGGTGAGGCATTGACAATGCAAATGGTGCAAACAACAACTCTTTATTCAGTTCACAATAGAAGCAGCCCTAACTGCTGCTTAACCAGTATTTATACAGCTCACCACTAGGCAGCAGCCAATAGAATTGAAGCATTCTTTCCCACTTAAAGACAAGCTAATTAACATGTAGACAGTCAGTCTGGAGCTTAAACAGGTGCAGCCGTCTGACCGTTTCCAACAGTTTCCAAGCAACTTAACCTCAATACATAACAAACATGCTATGGAATGTAGAGAGATGCAGAGCCCAGCCCACTGGCTGGTATGTCAGCTATTACAAGAAACCTGTACCGACAATGACTTATTTTTGGCCAATGACAAAGCCAAGAAGGTGACTTCATCCTAGCAGTCTAAAGTTTGTTATAGACAGGGAAGAAGAAGAAAAAAGCCATTCACAGATTCAAAGGTGATGAAAAAGTAACTTCATACAGAAGTAAATATTAACTTACTCAATTTAAGGCATGAGTTTATATTCTTTCATTTAGTCCATTACTGATTCTAGTCCTAATTTTACACCTATTTTGGATTTCCATTTCAGCAATTATAAGTTACACTCACTTGAAAAAATTAGTAAATTAAACTGACAGAAGGCAAAACTGACAGAAGTAATCCTAATTTCAATCTAGGACATGGGAATGCCAAATTAGATGAAATGTCAATTGCTATTTGGAAAAAATATTACAAAAGGAAAATCCAGTATTCTGTGTACATACTTCAAAGACCTCCTGGAAGCTGTGACAGTGCATATTGCAGCTACCTGATGAATAAGTAAAATAGCTAAATGACAGCATAGATTGCTGCCTTCTCATCAGTTCAGATTCCAATGAGGAGACCACTTAGTGGCAGTGTCCCAACTACAGATATCTCTCTGTAGAGAAGTACATAAGATCTCAAGATTTCTTAGACAAGACATGTCAAACACAAGGCCCGGGGGCCGGATGTGGCCTGCGAAGTGGTTTCATGTGGCCCGTGAAGCCATCCTAGAAACAGTGAGGGAACGCCCCCCGCTACCTTGGCCCTGGCCCAGACAAGCCAGGAGCCAATGTACAATTTTGTGCTGAAACGCATTCAGTCAAAGCTCCACAAGGCCATCTGGAAACAGCGAGGCACCAGCCCCTGCTACATCGGCCCCATCCCCTGGGTGCATGCTGGGGAGGTGTCACTCTTTGTGAGGAATGAAGAAATGCATCATCACCAGCAAATGGCCCTTGCCTACTTCACATATCCGGCTTGATGGGCTCTGTGGGAAGGGTTTTGGCAGGCAGTGGGGCACTCTCCTCATAGCGCCAAGAGGCTGAGCTGGGCAGTGCAAATCCAAGAAGAAGCGCAATGCTGTGCAGTCCCCAGCCTGCCCGGTTTCAGCAGGCAGCGGGGCACTCTCCTCACAGCGCTGAGAGGCTGAGCTGGGTGGCGCAAATCCAGAAAAAAGCACACGAGGCCGCCCAATTCCTAGCCTGCCTGGTTTTGGCAGGCAGTGCAGCGCTCTCCTCACAGCGCCAAAAGCTGAGCTGGGTGGCACGAATCTGATGAGAAGTGCAATGCTGCCTAGCCCCCAGCCTGCCCAGTTTCATCAGGGAGCAAGGTGCAATGCTAGCGAGCTTTGCACCTCCCGGATCAACCTCTTGGTGCTGTGAGGAAAGCACCCCGCTGCCTGCCGAGACCGGGCAGGCTGGGGCTGGGCGGCATGGCACAGGTAATGTTGACTCTCATGCTGTTCATGGCATCCCCTCCTCCAGAGCCCACCAAGCCAAATATGTGAAGTAGGTGAGGGCCATTTGCTGGCCACTTCCAGGCAATGGTGCATTTCTTTATTCCTCACGAAGGGTCACACCTCCCCAGCTGTGTTTCTTGCCTGTTTTTCTCCCTCATCTCAAATATTTTCCCACCACTCTGTTCTTAGGAAGGAAAGAAGGAAGGAAAGAAGAAAAGAAGGAGAGGGAGAGTCTGAGGGGAGTCCTGCCTTAGTCCTGCCCTGCTGCCCTTTTACCATCCCCTTGCCCCCTCCTCCTGCCTATCCTGGGGGTCTCCCATCCTATTGCTAAAGAAGCTTTGGATACAAAGCCAGGTCTTCTCCCATGGAGAAGGAATGGGCCTCCCTCTGACTTTGCCCTCATACCCATCATGAGCGACCTAGCTAAGGAGAGCAAGCACAGCAGCAGCAGCCTTGAGAAGGAGTTAAGTGCAGCTGGGTGCCCCCTTGGGAACGTGGAGCTGGGCTTGGTGCTGCAGGTGCTCTAGAGCAGGCTGGGCATTTGATCTCTGCTGCCCAGGGCTCTGGGCAGCCCGCACCACCATCCAGATCCTCCCACATGGCCTGAGAGGAACAGTGAGGCTCCTCCAGTGCACCATGCCTTGGCACTTGCCCTGGTCCCACCCCCTTCTGCCAGAGACCCTCAGATCTGTCCCACTCCTGCCCAGGCCCCCATAGGCACCCTTGACGCGAACGATGTAGAGCTGGCCACACCCACCCAATAGGCCACACTCACTCCAGCCATGCCCACCCAGTAGGCCATGCCCACCCTGGCCATACCCACCCAACCCCCCGAGGACAACCACAATGCTGATGCAGCTCTCAATGAAATTGAGTTTGACACTCCTGTTCTAGACACAATAAAGGACATCTTTAGGAGCAAGCTGTTCTAGGATTTAGCTATCTCTTACTTTCTTTCTTAAATGAATTCTGACTTAATCTTTCAATTTATTACTTTTAGATACTCTTGGCTTAATTAATTATGATTGTTTTTATTATTTACTATTGTTTTATTATGGGTTGCTCCAAGAGGAAGACAGGACTAGAAATAAAATAAAAAATAATGACAATTCCATAAAGGAATCCCCTTAATTTTATCTATAGTAAATGAGATATATGTATAAAAAGACTCCCTGTTTCATTGTCTCCTAGCCCCGGCCCTATAAATAGGAACAATGAAACAGCTACTTCAAATAAGATATATTGTATTCAGAGATTGAAAGAGGTGGGAAATGGTCAAAGAAAAGTGCAATGCTGCTTTTTTTATAGCTATAATCCTAAGCAACGTTCCTTTGAAACATTCTTTGGAGTGAAATGAAGGTGAGGAAAGCCACTTTTCCATAGCTCCAGTCACACATTTTCATCTGGGACAGAAAAATAAAACTTTGAATATAAAATATCTATGGCAGTCAATATCATTCCCTTGATTACGTATCACACTAAAATCTTACTTTATTGTTTTCCATCTTTCTTTTTAGGTGGCTTCAGCAGTGATGCTAGAAATAGACTTAAATATAATGAGTCTAAAAAGGTGCTGCATATTCAGTGGGAAGTGGTACAATCAGAAGATGAAAGAACTCAGAAAGATATCCTTGACCCTAAACAGCTGAGAGAAAATGCCTCTGAAATGACAACTGAGGTCACTTCAAAACCCGCATCAACAAGTACTTTCTCAGAAGAAGCACAGGTCTCACCAACTATGCCCAGCCCCACAGGAAATGTTGTTGCTGTAAGCACAGCTTTGACTGGGACTGTCTCCGGGGAATCTTACACTTCTTTGTCCCATACCAGCAGCACCTTCAGCAATGTCACCACAAAGGCATCTTTCTTCACTTCTCACTCTGCTGCAACTGATACCTCTGCCTCCTCACACGGGCCCTCAGCTGAGCCCAGCACAAGAACAAGTGATGCCACTACAAGCATTGTTTCCACAAGTGCTCCCTTGGGTGAAACACACACTCCCTCAACAACTCTCAGCACCACAGGGATGGAGGCTGGTAGAGGCACAGCTTCACCCAGTGCTCCTTCAGAAAGAACAGACAGCCCTCCACCAGGTAAAAATCCCACAGGGAGTGATGTCGGTACCACCTTGGCTACCATTTGGACCACCTTAGTTGAGACACACAGTCCCACAATGGTGCACAACCACTCAACCCATATGAGTCCCACGCCAGCTCATGTGGCTACCACAACCACATCTGGAAACACTCCCTCAGGGGAAACACACACCTCCCTGATCACACTTGACAGCACCGGGAGAGATATCACCATCGACATAGCTTTAACTACTTCCCTTTCACCTGAAATTCATACCTCCTCCCCTAGAACCTTAAATGACTTTGTCACCAGCAGCATGAGTACAACATCTGCCAGGCAAGAAACATCCAGTTCAGATACAGATCTCAGTCCCTCAGCATCTCCAAGTGCCTCAGCGAGCGATGTGATGAGCATACCATCCACAAGGGCTGTGTCGGGTGAAATACACACTTCTGCAAAAGCCCCCACTGCCATCACGAATCATGTTAATTCTGGCACACCTTCCCCAAGTCCTTTAACGGTGGAAACCCCAGGCTTCCCAATCTATAGTAGCCCTACCATTACAGATGTCAATAAAAGCACCGTTTTCATGACTTCTTCTCCAGGTGAAACACAGAGAAGCATTGCCAATACAGGCCACACAGACAACAAGGGAAGTACAGTCATGGATCCCACAGACTCTCCTGCAAATCAAACTCGAAGTCCCACAGAAAATGGTAGCACCCCCGGAACCCATGTCACTGCAACTCCAGCTCCAACAAAGACAGTCTCCAAGGAAACAACAAGCCCCTCCACAGAAGCCAGTAGCACTTTAACTGATGTCAGCCATCAAACTGCATTGACCTCACTCTCAGGGGAAGCATATACCCCTACATCAAGTGGCACGACACCAGAAATTGAAACTGGCACAAGAACTGAGGTCACTTCAAAACCTGCATCCGCAAGTACTTCCTCAGAAGAAGCACAGGTCTCACCAACTATGCCCAGCCCCACAGGAAATGTTGTTGCTGTAAGCACAGCTTTGACTGGGACTGTCTCCGGGGAATCTTACACTTCTTTGTCCCATACCAGCAGTACCTTCAGCAATGTCACCACAAAGGCATCTTTCTTCACTTCTCACTCCGCTGCAACTGATACCTCTGCCTCCTCACACGGGCCCTCAGCTGACTCCAGCACAAGAACAAGTGATGCCACTACAAGCATTGTTTCCACAAGTGCTCCCTTGGGTGAAACACACACTCCCTCAACAACTCTCAGCACCACAGGGATGGAAGCTAGTAGAGGCACAGCTTCACCCAGTGCTCCTTCAGAAAGAACAGACATCCCTCCACCAGGTACAAATCCCACAGGGAGTGATGTCGGTACCACCTTGGCTACCATTTGGACCACCTTAGTTGAGACACACAGTCCCACAATGGTGTACAACCACTCAACCCATATGAGTCCCACACCAGCTCATGTGGCTACCACAACCACATCCGGAAACATTCCCTCAGGGGAAACACACACCTCCCTGATCACACTTGACAGCACCGGGAGAGATGTCACCATTGACATAGCTTTAACTACTTCCCTTTCACCTGAAATTCATACCTCCTCCCCTAGAACCTTAAATGACTTTGTCACCAGCAGCATGAGTACAACATCTGCCAGGCAAGAAACATCCAGTTCAGATACAGATCTCAGTCCCTCAGCATCTCCAAGTGCCTCAGCGAGCGATGTGACGAGCATACCATCCACAAGGGCTGTGTCGGGTGAAATACACACTTCTGCAAAAGCCCCCACTGCCATCACGAATCATGTTAATTCTGGCACACCTTCCCCAAGTCCTTTAACGGTGGAAACCCCAGGCTTCCCAATCTATAGTAGCCCTACCATTACAGATGTCAATAAAAGCACCGTTTTCATGACTTCTTCTCCAGGTGAAACACAGAGAAGCATTGCCAATACAGGCCACACAGACAACAAGGGAAGTACAGTCATGGATCCCACAGACTCTCCTGCAAATCAAACTCGAAGTCCCACAGAAAATGGTAGCACCCCCGGAACCCATGTCACTGCAACTCCAGCTCCAACAAAGACAGTCTCCAAGGAAACAACAAGCCCCTCCACAGAAGCCAGTAGCACTTTAACTGATGTCAGCCATCAAACTGCATTGACCTCACTCTCAGGGGAAGCATATACCCCTACATCAAGTGGCACGACACCAGAAATTGAAACTGGCACAAGAACTGAGGTCACTTCAAAACCTGCATCCGCAAGTACTTCCTCAGAAGAAGCACAGGTCTCACCAACTATGCCCAGCCCCACAGGAAATGTTGTTGCTGTAAGCACAGCTTTGACTGGGACTGTCTCCGGGGAATCTTACACTTCTTTGTCCCATACCAGCAGTACCTTCAGCAATGTCACCACAAAGGCATCTTTCTTCACTTCTCACTCCGCTGCAACTGATACCTCTGCCTCCTCACACGGGCCCTCAGCTGACTCCAGCACAAGAACAAGTGATGCCACTACAAGCATTGTTTCCACAAGTGCTCCCTTGGGTGAAACACACACTCCCTCAACAACTCTCAGCACCACAGGGATGGAAGCTAGTAGAGGCACAGCTTCACCCAGTGCTCCTTCAGAAAGAACAGACATCCCTCCACCAGGTACAAATCCCACAGGGAGTGATGTCGGTACCACCTTGGCTACCATTTGGACCACCTTAGTTGAGACACACAGTCCCACAATGGTGTACAACCACTCAACCCATATGAGTCCCACGCTAGCTCATGTGGCTACCACAACCATATCCGGAAACACTCCCTCAGGAGAAACACACACCTCCCTGATCACACTTGACAGCACCGGGAGAGATGTCACCATCGACATAGCTTTAACTACTTCCCTTTCACCTGAAATTCATACCTCCTCCCCTAGAACCTTAAATGACTTTGTCACCAGCAGCATGAGTACAACATCTGCCAGGAAAGAAACATCCAGTTCAGATACAGATCTCAATCCCTCAGCATCTCCAAGTGCCTCAGCGAGCGATGTGACGAGCATACCATCCACAAGGGCTGTGTCGGGTGAAATACACACTTCTGCAAAAGCCTCCACTGCCATCACGAATCATGTTAATTCTGGCACACCTTCCCCAAGTCCTTTAACGGTGGAAACCCCAGGCTTCCCAATCTATAGTAGCCCTACCATTACAGATGTCAATAAAACCACCGTTTTCATGACTTCTTCTCCAGGTGAAACACAGAGAAGCATTGCCAATACAGGCCATACAGACAACAAGGGAAGTACAGTCATGGATCCCACAGACTCTCCTGCAAATCAAACTCAAAGTCCCACGGAAAATGGTAGTGCCCCCGGAACCCATGTCACTGCAACTCCAGCTCCAACAAAGACACTCTCCAAGGAAACAACAAGCCCCTCCACAGAAGCCAGCAGCACTTTAACTGATGTCAGCCATCAAACTGCATTGACCTCACTCTCAGGGGAAGCATATACCCCTACATCAAGTGGCACGACACCAGAAAATGAAACTGGCACAAGAACTGAGGTCACTTCAAAACCTGCATCCGCAAGTACTCCCTCAGAAGAAGCACAGGTCTCACCAACTATGGCCAGCCCCACAGGGAATGTTGTTGCTGTAAGCACAGCTTTGACTGGGACTGTCTCCGGGGAATCTTACACTTCTTTGTCCCATACCAGCAGCACCTTCAGCAATGTCACCACAAAGGCATCTTTCTTCACTTCTCACTCCACTGCAACTGATAACTCTGCCTCCTCACATGGGCCCTCAGCTGAGCCCAGCACAAGAACAAGTGATGCCACTACAAGCATTGTTTCCACAAGTGCTCCCTTGGGTGAAACACATACTCCCTCAACAACTCTCAGCACCACAGGGATGGAGGCTAGTAGACGCACAGCTTCACCCAGTGCTCCTTCAGAAAGAACAGACAGTCCTCCACCAAGTACAAATCCCACAGGGAGTACTCCCTCAGCAGAAGCACAGGTCTCACCAACTATGCCCAATCCCACAGGGAATGATGTCACTGTAAGCACATCTTTGTCCGGGACCCTCTCTGTGCAATCTTACACTTCTTCATCATATATCAGTATCCCCTTCAGCAATGTCACCACATCAGTGACACCCTCCCAGGAAATACCAAGCCCGTCAGCAGAAACCAGCAGCCCTTTCACTACCAAAATTACCATTGCTGAGAGTACTAGCAGCGCTTCCACTACCAAAACTACTACTGCCAAGAGTACTAGCAGCGCTTCCACTACCAAAACTACTACTGCCAAGAGTACTATCAAAACTACCACAAGTGGTGAGTATCAGTTTTCATTTGATCTCTTTGTTTGGTGACCTTTGGTCTGGAGCATAAGTTGAATCTTCTAGTTTTTTTTTTTAGAAATGATACAGTTTAGGGTAAATTGAGTATGAATTGGATTAGCCACTTTTCACCATATTTTTATCCAAAATCACACCTCTGACATTCTCTCTTGTAAGTGTCCCTGTGACCATTGCCTAATCATATGAGGTGATTCTTCCTCCATATTTGTGGATTTCCCTATATAGTGACTGCTCTATCACCTCTTACTGACTGGTGATCCTGGCTAGGGTAGCTGAGAGTGATATTTCAGTCGCAGCTTAAAGGCCACAGGAAGCTCCCCTCTGTTCTGGGAGGTTGGGAGGATTGACACCTCCTTTGGGACATGGCTGCTTTGTGCCAAGTTCTAGAGTTCTAGAGTAAGAGAGCACCTATCATTAATGGGTTTGTGCAGATTATTTTATATTCATGGAAGAATTGCCTGGTCTTGCCAAATTTGGGCTTGAGGGAAGCCTGTTATGCAGAACTCCCTCTCCAATGCTCCTCTGTAGACAACTATAGATTAAGATCTTTGTGCTTATATGAGTGACTGCATTGTAGTGTTAGTGTATTAAGGAAGGAATGTCAATACTGATTCAGAATATCAATAAACATTGAAAAATGCCGGAGAGAATGTTTTTCTAATGAAAAAAAAGGCAAGAACTTTTTTTTAAAAAATTAAAACTTTCTTAATTGCATTGACTTTATTTTCCACTTCATTGCTTGAAAAAATGATCAGCCTGCACATCCTTCCTGTCAGTTAATGTCAAGTTAGAGGCTGAAAGAGTTTAGAAACAATGTGGTGTCACATGAATGCCTATAAGCTGCTCCCTCATTTATCTGCTAGATACACACACTGTGATAAAATTTTACTTCTTTATATTGTTCCAGAGCTATGCCACAACGGTGGAACCTATGATGGAACCAAATGCCTCTGTAATGAGGATTTATTCTATGGACCCAAGTGTGAGTTCCGCATAGATGAAATTCCAATCAATGAATGTAAGTACAGTCAGGGAGAACTTGATTGCTTTTTCCCTGCTGACAGCCTAGGACAGCTTTTTCAAATTGCTTGCCTTCCACATGTTTTTTTAGATTATCCTACTAGAATAAAGATATTGCATTTGGAAAAACCAGGTTTGGAAAATATGGCTTAATAGAAACTCCTTTATAATGCATGTAAATTGGGAACATGTAGGAAAATAGATAGCTCTCTATTCCCAGTTCTGCCTATCTGGGAAGGATGGTTCACAGAGGCCTGTAGGTTTGCCAGCTCCAAGCTAAAACAATTAATTTGGGGATAATATTTTTCCCCATATGGGTACAGAAGCCTCATAAATAGCTGAGAAGATATGCCTATTTTGTGCTGAATAAAGTTTCTTCATCTAAGAAGACTCATGGAGATGGGATTTGGATGCTATTTCCTATTATAATAAAATAACAGAGCTGCAAACAACTAGAAACAAATAAAAGTATAACTAGAAGCCAGCACAGGTTTGTTTAAAACAGATCATGCCAAAACAATGTTATTTCATTCTTTGACAAAGTGACTAAATTAGTAGACCAATGAAATGCTGTTGGCATAGTATACTTATAGTATATTCAAAGTATACTTAATATACAAGATCCTCACCTGATGTGATTCAGACCTGGCCCATCACAAGACTCATCACAAGACTTACACTTGACACAACCCACACCTGACCCATCACAAGACCCTGATATGATGTGATCCTCACCTGACGTGACCTCCCCATCACAAAATCTACTCACAACATGAAGCCTTTATAAGCAGCACACCAACACTGACATCCCCATATTCCACTGAAGATGTTACATAGCCTGGTAATGAAACATTCATAAACCAACACACAAATTCAGAGAATGAACCTTTACCCTCAGCCTACACCTGAGCTACAGATATTTGCTACTACCACATAGTATATGTAGATTTCAGTAAGATATTCAACAAAGTAGATTGCAACCTACTTCTTGGTAAGCTAGAAAAATGTGGGATAGACAGCATCGCCAACAGATGGATTTGTAACTGGCTGACAAATGTACTCAATGAGTAATCCTTAATGGTAATACATTTACATGGAAGGAAGGAAGCAGAGAGGTACAAGAAATTTCTGTCTTGACTTCCGGTTCCAGATCGCGGTGCCTCTAGCCGCACAAAGAGACTTATCTCCTCATCGGCTAGCTTCCCTCTGCCGGTAGACCCTTATGCGGGTCGAAAGTCGCTCTGGAGGGTGCGACTTCTGTCAAGGAGGCTTTGCTCGGCTGTGGAGTAGTGGTGGCTCCTCCAGATGTCCGAGCTATCTCTGAGGGCTGACAGAGAAGATCGGCCAGTAAAATGGCCGATCACCTTGCCGCTTCAAACCGCAAGTCAAAGAACATCTAAGCTGTAAGAACCAGCGTGGTCAATCCGGGTGAGACTTTGTTTTTTCCTGCTCCTCTCTTCATTTTATCTTGCTTTTTTTTTTTTTTTTTTTTTTGCCTGTAAGAGCCTTGTTGGAATTATTTCCCTGGCTTGAAAAAGCAGCTTTTACATGTTTGGGAAGAAAGGCGTTGAACAAAAGAATAGAATAAAATTTTAAAGACTGTACTTTATTTTCATATGCTTTGGGGTACAGAAAAAAAATTTTTTTTCTAAGAGCTGTATTATCATTTTATGCTGGAAGATTATTTCTTTTTTCACATTATATTTCAAAAGAAAGAAAAAGGGAAAAATGGTGTCTAGAAAAGTTTTTTTTCAACTTACTGAGGACATCTAGTGGCGAAAATCTAATATTGCAACTTATGGTTATTCTTTGGAGATGGAATAGATGGACCTTTAAATTAATTTTGAAGAGAAAAGATAAGCTGATGCAGTTATGAGAATTGTGGGGGTGGATACTGTTTAACTTTTATTAAACACAGCCTCCACAAGAAGAAAAAAGAGACTCTCTTTAATTATTTTCAAAAAGGAGAAAGCTCATTTACAATTAAACTGCCAACTTACATTGGAAAAGATTTATGAGGCCACTGTAGAAATATGTGCTACAATGAAGGTTTACTACAGAATTAAGATCCAGAAGTCGTACTTCAAATCTTCAAACTGATCTCCAGACTACATCTGACTATTCTATAAATCAAAACATACTAGAAGAGGAAACAACTGAGATAAAAGAGGAAGTTATTTTATCTTATTAATATTCCATCTACAGCTTTGAGGATCAGAAGAATCAAAGATTGAGACTAGAAACTTTAAAGCAACAAAGCTTTAAGGATGAGAGAAATAGATGCCTAATGCAGAGGATGGGATTCCTATCATTTCAAAGGGCACTACAAGCAATAAAGAGAGATTTATTGGCTGAAAGGGAAGCTTGGTTATGGAAACTTACTTGGCACAGAAAAAAAGCCAGAATAAGACTGAAAAGAGAAATTTAAAATTGTGTAATGGATTTAAAGCAATGTTGATTTATGGACAGTTTTAAGGATTAAGATTCAGAATTAGAAGTAAGAAAAAAATAGGAGGTTGATTATTAGAACAGATGTTTTAAATAGATTAAGAATGTACTTTTTGGAATAATAGGTTTATTTTTATGAAAATTATGTATTGGAATGGAAAAATGCTGACTTTTTAAATTTGGATTGTTTCAATAATTAATTGTTTTAAATTAGTAAGATGATGTTTCTGTATGATAATATAGATGTGATAAGGCATGATAATTAATTGGATGAAATTTGAATTTTGTTTAATGAATTGAAATGAATTAAGGCTTAACACTATTTTGTTATTTTAAAGAGTGATCGATTGATGGATTATATATATATATAGGATAGATTAATATTTTATCTTAATTAGGATATGTATTGTGTAGTGGAAGAAGAAATAAATGAGACTTGTGATAAAATGAGGGATATAAGAGATTAAGAATTAGAATATAGTTGGAAGGGATACCTGAATTGATACCTTTGATTTAAAATTAAATTTGATTATGGTAATTGTAAATTTATAAAGTTTTAAAACAGGTTTAGCAATTATAGAAATTTAAATTAGAAATGGAATATTTTAAATGTATTATGCTATTGGAGGGAAATAGAGAGGGGACAATGAATGTATTGAGTTGAGTTATTTATATATGGTTCTATTGTTGAATGTTTCATTACCCAAACACCATGGTGTGTCCTGAGCACCTTTTTCTAAGATTTAAAAAACCAATAAAATGTGTTTCAAAAAAAAAAGTTCCGTCTTAGGCCCAGTATTCTTCAGTATCTTCCTAAATGACTTAGATGAAGGAATAGAAGAAGAACTCATCAAATTTGCAGATGACAATAAACTGGCAGGAATAGCCAACACCCCAGAAGACAAGCTCAGGATCAAAAAGGATCTTGTCAGACTTGTATAATGGGCCCTATCCAACAGCATGAAATTTAATAAATTTAAAAAAGCAAGGTTTTACACTTAGGTAGAAAAATGAAAGGTACAAGTACAGAATAGGCAAAACCTGGCTCAAAACACTAACCGTGAGCTGGACCTTGGAGTGCTAGTGCACGATCACTTAAATAGGAGCCAGCAGTGTGTGACAGCAGCTAAAAAAGATAATTCAATCCTTGGTTGTATAAACAGAGGCAGAGAATCAAAATACCGCTTTATAAAACTACACCTGGAACACTGCATCCAGTTTTGGCTACCACATTGGTCACCACATTTCCAAAGAGACTTTGGAAAAAGTGCAGAGAAGAGCAACTAATGTGATTAAAGGCCTGGAGATGAAAACATATGAAGAATGATTGCAGAAATTGGGTCTGGCTAGTCTAGAGAAAAGAAGGAATAGGGGTGACATGATAGCAGTATTCCAGTATTTGAGGGGCTGCCACAAAAAAGAGGGAATCAACTTATTTTCCAAAGCACCAAAGGGAAGGACAAGAAACAGGATGGAAACTAATTAAGGAGAGAAGCAGCCTGGAAATAAGGAGAAACATCCTAACAATGAGAACAATTAACCAGTGGAACAGTGGAATACATTGCCTTCAGAAGTAGTGGATGTTTCATTATTGGAGGTTTTTAAGAAGAGATTGCACAGCCACTTGTCTGAAATGGTATAGGATCTCCTGCTTGTTGAGCAGGAGTTGAATTAGAACAGGGCTTTTCAACCTTTTCACCCATTGTACCACTTTTAGGATATGGCAATGTCTGAGTTTCACCAGTTGCCTAGGAAGGTGTCAAAAACTTGATGACCAAAAAAGAAAAGGAAAAAAGTGATAAAGTACAGGTAGTCCTCGACTTACAACAGTTCACTTAGTGACTGTTTGAAGTTACAATGGCATTGAAAAAAGTGCCCCTCAAGCCACAGTCGAGAAAGACACCTGTCTGCCCGCCTGGCCTCACTCTTCCTCCTGCCCGAGGTTTTCATTGTTGTGAGTATTTCTGTTGAAGATTGGCAACGGGGGTGGGTTGGGGGTGTTTTGTTTTTATTCCCCCCATCTGCTGGGTAGTTGCAGCAGGTTTTGGTTACGTCACATGACCCTGGGACACTGTGACCATCGTAAATATGAATCGCCAAGCATCTGAATGTAAATCACAAGACCCTGGAGATGCTGCAACATTCCAGCTGATCGGCGCTTCTTCTAGGCTCAGCAGAAGCGCCAGGATCAGCGCCGAGCTCCAGCTGGAGCCTGGTGCTGATCCTGGTGCTTCTGCTGAGCCCTGACAGCCCTGCAGCTCCAGCCATCTCTCACTCAGGCTTGTGCGGTGCTGCCACTGGTTCAGCTCATTCCCCTCCCCCACTACCACTTTTCTAGGATGGTCGCATACCACCTGCCAGGTGCCAATGTACCACAGGTGGTACCCGTACTACTGGTTGAAAAGCCCTGAATTAGAAGACCTCCAAGATCACTTTCAGCACTAATCTGAATTAAAAATTTATCAGTAAATAAAAAAATGAGCTTTCAGACCTGATAGAGATCTCTAGATTTAGGCATTTCGAGCCATATTGGAGAATGGGAACCTCTTGCCTGTCACATTTCAGAATTCCTTTGCAGGGAAATAACTTATTGAGGTTCATATGAATATCTCTTTCCCTCTCTTTTAGTATCTGTGACCATTACAATAGAAGCTCAGGTGAGGATTACTAACAAAGAGTACAAGAAATCTCTGGAAGACTTAAACTCTAAATATTCTCAGGAAATTCAGGCTCAGTTTAAAAAGCAGGTAAGATTTACAGGCTCAAGGAAACAGACTACATCTGATCAATGTCACTCAGAAACCATTTCAATGTAATGTTATCATACACTCTTCTTTAACCAAGGCCAGCACCCCTAATTCATTCCAACATTGTGTCTTCTTCCCCGCCAGAAACTCTCTTCTTGGACTCTCAGCTTTCTGCAGCTGGAGAATTAGGGAAGGCATAGCACAGACCGCGTATTCAATGCTTTAGGTGGTTTGCTTCTAATTAAAGTCTCTTCCCTGGCCTAGGTTTCTTTGTTTATGAAGACTTTTTTTTCTACTTTTTCTACATTATAGATGAAAGATATTTATGGTGCTGTCCCTGGATACCATGGTGTGGAGATCTTACGAATGAGGTGGGTGCCTAAAAAAAGACTAATTTAGGCTTTGGGATGATAAGCCATCAAGTGGATTTCTCTCATTCATTCAGGCCAGCCTCGCTTGAATATGAATAAAACTTTTCTCTCATTGTGGATCTTCTTTTTTGGTTTGAGTATCTCTGTAAAACCTCAGCTATTTCTCAAGAAAGGTGAACTTTTGAAACAGGCAGCATTTCAAAAGGATATTTTATTGAGAAATAGTGATTTTCAGAGAAGACAGGGAAAATCTAAAATTCCCGTGCAACTCCTATTGTTGAGATCCCTCCCAACTGCCCAGTCCATTAGGAGCCAATCCAGAGGGGTGCAGCTGTTGTGAGAATTCTGAGCTGAGAAGATGATAAGTTGTTCTCAGGCACCATGACCTTGGTTCTCTGGAGATGAGACAAAGCAGATGGCCCCAGGCTCATCCCTCCCCCTCCCATTTCCCAGAAAGGTACATCAAAGCAAAAGAGAAACAAAGTAAAATGGATACATCATGGAAAGCCCTGATAGGGATCTATGTTACAGCTCCTAAAAGAAGGAGAAATCCACCTGGTGGAAATAAAAAACAATAAAGGGGAGAGAAAAGAGTGATATGGTTAGTTAGGTTTATCTGGGTAAAGAGCTTAGAAGTGCTTGAGTAGTCTAGGGGCTCTAATGTGTTTCTTGTGAACCCATTTATTTTGAGCTGTGGGGAGATCCTTCCATGCTATGAGGTATTGTGTTGTTCCATGGACTTCCACGGGAGTCAAGGATTCTTTAATTTCAAAGTGTTGTTTGTCTTCTATCATGATGGGCTGTGGCATGAGGGGGGGGGCACACTGACCATAAAGGCGAAGTTATCACAGGTTTAGAAGGGTGCAATAGAACCACAGGGTGGACTTATCTTAACATTTTTGGTAACTCCAATTCAACTTTCACAGGGTTTATAATGTGTTTGATGGGGAAAGGCCTCACAAACTTTGGGGCCAACTTCTTAGAGGGTTGTAGGGATTGCAGGAATTGAGTAGACAGGAACACTCAGTCCCCAATATGGAATGGTTTGGACTCTTTTCTTATCTGCTGTGCCTTGTAGGCTACTCTGGCTTCATCTAACACTTTGCGAACTACTGGCCAGGTATTCTTTAACTGATTAATCCTCTCCTTTAATGAGGGAATGGTGGGTTCATTAGTTGGCAGCTCAGGCATTGGATTGAAATCTTGTCCTGTGGTGACTTGGAAAGGGGTAAAACCAGTGCTGGTGTGTACAGCATTGTTATAGATCACCTCAGCAAATGGCAGGAGGTCAGTCCAATTATCTTGTTGGTAGTTAATAAAACATCTTAGGTATTGTTCTAGAACTAAGTTCATTCATTCTGTCCCATAATTCATTTGTGGATGGTGACTAGAACTCAGGCCTTGATCCGTCCCCAAAAGGTTGAAAATGGCCCTACAGAATTTGGAAGTGAATTGGACCCCTCTATCAGAAATTATGTGACACAGGGCCTCATACAAGCAATATATATGATGAAAGAACAGTTTTGCCAGAGTTTTAGCTGGGGGGATTTTCTGGCACAGGATAAAGTGGACTTGTTTTGAAAACAGGTCAGTCACCACCCAAATGACCATGTTTCTGCGCTTTCTGGCAGTTCTATAATAAAATCCATAGAAATCTTTCTCCAGGGTGCTGAAGGCTCCGCCACTGGTTGCAGGATACCAGGCATTTTCCCTTGCCTCCTTTTGGCTGCATGTGAGGCAGCTAAATACATAGCTTTCAATTTCTTTCTTGAGGGATGGCCACCAAAACTGTCTCTTTAAGAAGTGCAGGGTTTTTACAAACCTGAAATGTCCAACCAGTTTCAAATGATGGCACATTTGCATAGTCTTTAGTCTCTGACTGGCTGGGACATACAATTTCCCTCCTACCAAGGCTAGCCCTTCCTGCATTGAGCAAGTGTTCTTGTGGTTGAGGAACCACTTATCTTTCTCTAGGGCTTTTTTGGAGGCTAGGATAGTAGGGTTATCTATGGGTGACTGCCTCTTTGGTTGCACTCTTATGGTTACTCGAGCCACTAATTGCCATGCTGCCGGAAAGGGCTTAACCATTTCCGATTTAAAACTTTTGGATTGTGATAGCCTCGACAAGGTATTGGCTAGAAAATTCTTTCTCCCCAGCAAGTAGCAGAGAATGAAGTTAAAACATTGGAAGTGTTGAGTCCACCATACTTGCCTGTGGGACAATTTCTTTGGAGTTTTCAAAGCCTCTAGGTTTTTGTGATCAATTCATGGATTTTATTCCCTTCCAGGAAATTTTGCCAGGTGAGGAGGGCCCATCTAACTGCCTAAGCCTTCTTTTCCCATACCGACCAATGTTGCTCGGTTTCTGTGAGTTTTCTTTTGAGATGTAAGCACACAGCCATAGTTGGCTCTCTCATTTTCCTGGAGCAGTATGGCTCCCATTGCTACATCGCTGGCATCAGCCTGAATAACAAAAGGTTTTTCAGGGTCTGGATGCTTTAGTACTGGTTCAACGGAAAAAAGTCTTTTTAACTTTTTGAATGTGGCTTGGCATTCCATAGTCCATTTTAGTAGCTGGCTAGGTTTTAGTTTGTCTGCCCCTTTTGTTTTCAACATGTTAGTGATGGAGAGGGCAATTTCCATAAAGGATGGAATGAATTACCAGTAAAATTTTGCAAAGCCCAGGAAGCTTTGCAACTGCTTTCTGGTGCAACTGCTTTCTGGCACCCACTCTAACACAGCTCAGGTCCACTTCCACCCCCTCGTGGGAGATCCGGTAGCCCAAGTAGTTGATTTTTTCTTTGTGGAATTCACACTTAGAAAGCTTAGTGTACAGTTTGGCCGCACAGAGTTTATTTAGAACTGCTCTGACCAATTTCATGTGTTCCACTTTTGTCTCAGTGTAAATATGTCGTCAAGATACACCAAAACCCCTTTATACAGGTGCTTATGGATCACTTCATTTATGAGCTGCATGAACACTGCAGGAACCTCTTGTAATCCAAAAGGGAGCACTTTGAATTGGAAGCACCCCAGGGGGTAGTTAAAAGCAGATTTCCATTCATCCTCCTGCTTAATTCTAATTCAGTAGTATGTTTCCAATACTACCTGTACTTCCTGTTCCTGGTTTATAGAATATTCTGCCCTTTGAAAGGGTCAGCATGTGTTTCATGGGTGGGAGTGGGTATGCATTTTCCATGCACACTGTGTTCATACCCCTGCAATTGACACAGAGATGAATAGACCTGTCTTTCTTCTCTTGGAACAGAACTGGGGCAGCCACCTTGGATCTAGTCAGTTGAATGAAGCCTCGGGCCAAGTTCGTGTCTATAAACTTGCACAGTTCAGTTAACTCCCTTGGAGTCATGGAGTACAACTTTGGTTTTGGCAATGGGTTGGTGAAGAGTTTGTCTGAACCTCTCTCACTAAACACCTCAACTAAATCATGATATTCTCATGGTATGCCCTGCAGCAACTCACTTTTCAAGTTAGCAGCCACTTCTCTGCAGTATTCCTTCCTTGCCTTGTGGTCACCATTGCATGGGGCTTGTTTCCTCTTTGGGAACTTCAGGAGTCCCTTCCTCCAATCCACCCACTGGTTCCATTTTTTGAGCCAAGCTAGTCCTAAGACAAGGGACTATTCCATTCCTAGTGCCGCTATAAAGTTTAAGTCTCAGAGTGGCCTCCTATGGCCAGGTCCAGCGGCTCAGTAGTGAAGTTAGCTGGGACAGCTCCTGCAACCGACCGGTCTAGCAATCAAGTTCTTTAGCATTCTCAGATGCACCCCCAGTTTTCCTACTAGGGTTGGGCTTATCAAGCATCTGGTGCACCCCAAATTTAGCAACACTTTTAGGACAACTTTCTTTTCCATGCCTGGGATTAACAGTTCTATGGTTTCTGGCACGATTGGTCCAGTTACCAGGAGGTCATCATTGTAGTTGCTGTTGGAGGGCCTTCCGATGGGGTTGGAGTTCCCTCTTTAGGCTTAGAGGAGTGGCAGAACTCTATGACCTTGGCACTCTTTAGAGCGGTGTCCTTGGTGTTTTGCGATGGCTTCATTGGCTTCCCCCCTGGCAGTCAGTCTCCTTTCTTTGCTGGGGTCTTCATCTGGCACTCTGCTGCTCAGTGATTCTCCTTTCTGCATTTGAAGCAGGCAGTCGAGCAGGGTGGCGGTTCATGGAGCTTGGTTGCCTCCCTCTTCCTCTTAGTGGAGACAGTTTCCACACCCTGCCCAATTGGTACTGGTTTCATGCCTGGTTGATTTCGTCTTTTTCAGCCAGGACCCACCAATTATGGAGGCAAGCAGGGGCCTCTCTGGCTATGCAGGCATGGTACAAGTTGTTGTTCAGTCTGTCCTTAAAACAGGTCACTAGGATGTCCTCTGGCCAGTTGAGGTGGCAAGCTTGGTCCCAGAACTCTTTGGTGTATTCAGTCACTGGGCGACGGCCCTACCTAATGGTCTTGATGCGGTCTCTGACTTTCTGGTCAGCAAGTGGGTCCTCGTACCTCTGTCTTAGTGCCATCATGAAGCAGTTAAAGTTTCAGAGCTCTGGTGAATTAGCTTTGTGAAGGATCACCATCCATCAGGCAGCGGCTCCTTCCAGGGCCAGGGTGATCAACCTGACCTTAGCCCCCTCGGTGGGGATATCTTGCCCATATTCTTGCATATAGGTGAGGATATGGGTGAGAAAGAAACCCAATTCTTGATGCCAACTTGATGCCAAGGGGGGGGTGCCTTCTACCCCTGCTGCTGGGCTTCCTCTCTACCAGCTCTCTGGATGTTCGCACCACCTGGGTCCTGGGTTGTTCGCACCACCCTGGGAGGGCTAGCTGGTGTGGTGGTCACCCTCTCTGCAGATTCAGCAATGCCAGCAATTCTCTCCAGGGTTGGAAATTCCCTCCTGCACACAGCTCCCTTGTGCATCCTTTCCTCTCTTTCCATGCAGGCTATGGCCTCTTGCATTTTCAGGTCCTGGAATGCTTCCATCATGAAGCATATAGCCTGCTTCATGAGGCAGTCGGTGTGGTCTGATTCTTTCTCCAGTTCACTGGCATCGTATAGCACTTCCATTTCAGGCCACCAGCCATGCTTTTGGCTGCCATGGATGAGGGTGACTCCTTTGGTCCTTTTCTAGTCTTCCTTCTTCCCCATGCCAACAGACCATCTCAGTTTCAAGAGATCTTCCAGGACGGCAGTTTCCTCCATCCATCTGGCAGAGTTTGCATTGGGGTGAGTCTTGGTGGAGGTCTCACCCCCAAACTCAGCTTCTTCGTGCTCGCTGTCTGGTTAGATATCATGTGCACAGTCCCCATGTTAGGGCTGGTGTCTCTCTGGGTGGACCACTTTGCAGATCCTGCCTAATATAAGGTCTCACCTCAACTAGTCTCTCAAGAAAGTCGAACTGTTGAAACAGGCAGCATTTCAAAAGGATCTTTTATTGAGAGATAGTGATTGCAGAGAAGACAGGCAGGAACTAAAATTCCTGTGCAAAAGTTAGGTTAAACTTCCATTATTCAGACCCCTCCCGACTGCCCAGCCCATCAAGAACCAATCCAGAGGTGCAAAGATGTGAGAATTCTGAGCTGAGAAAGTGATAAGAAGTTGTTCTCCTGAGATGAGACAAAGTGGATGGTCCGAGGCTCATCCCATCCTCTCCCATTTCCCAGGAAGATACATCAAAGCAAAAGAGAAACAAAGTAAAATGGATACATCACAGAAAGCCCTAAGGCTCCCCCTCCCACAGAATGGCAGTGTCCTGATAGAGATCTATGGCGACGTGATAATCTCCTCTTCCAATTTCTTTTCCCCCAGTGTGGATAGATGAGGGCCTGAGCAGGGGAGGAAGCAAGCATAGCTAGAGAATTTGAAGACTGGGCATTTTGCATGTCTGATATATACTTTCAGTCCCCATGTGTTCCAGGAAACCTCCGAGGAGGAACACCAACAATGACGACCTTGAGAGTTAAAGCAGTTAGACTTGGACTAAAGTCCAGGTTGAAATCCCCTCAGTCATGAAGCTTCCAGGGTAACTTTGGGCCAATCTGAAACTCTTATTCTAAGCTGTTTCTTAAGACAGTTGTGTGGATTAAATGGAGTGGAAAGGACTAGAAATAATAGTTCATTTTGTGTTTGATGGAGGAAAAGGGTCGGCCTATTACACTCTTCACCATACCTTCACTGAGGGATAAAGGGTAGTTCATCACCTGAGGAGTTGTTCTTCCTTCATTGTTCTCTTAGGAATGGCAGCATTATTGTGGAACATAAAGTCATCTCCCAAATAGAAATGAAGAACAACGAGGAAACGATCCAGCAGAATTTGAATGCTGTTACAGGGGCAGTGAATCACTCCTTGGCAGGCATCCATACCGATGGGGAGTGTATTGAGACTTCAGGTATGGTGTAGCTGGATAAACTCTTCCACTTGGATATGCTTTTTGCTGGCTGAGAAATAAATAAGATTCCTGGGTCTTTCTTCTTTTAGACAAGAGGGTTTTTAGAATGAACCACTTTTTTTCTGCAGGAACAAACGTCCTTTCGAATGGCTTCCCCCTTTGATTACGTAGGTAGATAAATGTACTGTATCTGGGCTGCAAATCTCAAAATTCCCACTAGATGGAGGCAAATACACCCTTTTTCATAAATGAAGGCAAATATAGATGTCCAGGATGATGTTGCAAGATCCAATCTGGGTCGGTCACCAGGATCAGAGATTTACTCTTCCAAGCTTTTGGGCTCATGCTGGAACCCATCCTCAAAGAACTTCTCTTTACTGGAATATGTGCTTTGGGCTATTCTATGAGTCATACTTATGTGGTGTCTTCCTGTTGGTTGATTGGTGTATTGATGGCATGAGATTGGCTGTTTGTTTCCTTCTGCTGCCAAATCCTTGGCTCCTAAGTACGTGATAAGCTGCTGGTCAATCAGCACTCCTGTTGACTGACAAGTTTCTCAGGCTTCAATCATTTACCTGGCAATCTTTGTAGCTGCATGGCCAACAATCTTAGTAGCATCAAAATTGAATGTATGTCATTGTTCATTGCAATGTGAGGCTGTCAATGAGTTTGGGACTCTTCGTCTGACCACGCACTTGTTTTCTTGCAGTGATTAGCTTCCTCCGAATCTGTTCTATATAGTCACAGCGGCAATCCATGCAGGAGATCTGGGAGATTACATTAGAAGTATCTCATACCTCCAGGAGATCTTTGCAATGTATGATTTGTTCTCATATAGTAGCCTCTAGAAGCAAGTGTTCTACTCAGTGCTTTTTATGTTAAAAAAAAAATGTGCCGGAACTCATACACGTCATACAACCCGTCTTGCCTACCCTACAAGGTTCCATCCAAAAAAGGTGCCGGAACTCCGTTCTGTGCGTTCTATGACCAAAAAAACCCTGGTTCTACTGCTTCTGAAATGTTTTTGATGTATGGTAAGGTGTGCCAAATAATTGGCCTTGTACCTTGTTTCTTCCTTTCTCTCCTTTGTGTGTTGCCCAGTCATCTTCTAATAAATGCTTGTGGGTCCCCATTCTGCCTGAATTGTTCATGTAGGTACCTTGTCTCCCGTTGTTTAACTTGCTGGGTACCACAGTGGGTTTTCACTCTGCCATACAGTCTGTGACTATTTAGGACAGACAGGAAGGAAGCTAACCACTAGATTGCAAGAACACAAGTGAGCAGTCAGACGAGGAGACTCGCACTCATTGGTAGCCTCACATTTCAATGAACAAGGACACACATTTAATTTCAAAGCTACTAAGATTGTTGGCCATGCAGGTTCAAAGATAGCCAAGAAAATGATTGAAGCTTGGAAAATGGATCCCTTATTAGTTAACAGGAGTGCTGATTTTCCACCAACTTATCAGGTACTTAGGAGCCAGGGTTTGGCTGCACAAGGAAACAACAGCCAATCTCATGCCATCAACACACCAATCAACCACTGGAAGGTACCAGATAAATATGACTCATAGAACAACCCAAAGCATATATTCCAGTAAAGAGAAGTTCCCTGACGATGGGCTCCAGCATGAGTAAAAGCCTGGTCCAGTGACTGACCCAAATTGGATCCTTTTTCTATTTGCCTCCCTCTGATTCCCCCCCCCCCCAATAACTGGGGGTTGGTTCTTATCAGGAATAAGGGATTATTTTCCTCGATATTTCTTGGGGGAAAAGGCAGAGAATGTAGGGCTCAAAATGCAGCTTTGATTCATGTTCTGCAAGTTTGTGGTCTTATGGTTCCCTTTCCTTCTGAGGGGAGGGGGCAGCATGTGCAGGAGGCTTTGCCAGGAACAGGAGGCAGAGAAAAGGAGGGGAGATCTTGGGGGGGGGGCATCAGATCCACTGCTGCTGGGCAGGGAAGAGATTTGTAGAACTTGATTCATCAAGAATGAAAACTGAGGTGTGGAATGAAAAAAGGACCAAAGCTATTAATGGTGTTGAAGAAATTCTACAAAATTCAAAATATTTTTCTTTTTTATAACATTCAGTATGTTTAGTTTCAGCATGATCCAGAAATATAGATAAGCTAATATTTTCCAATTTTGTTGAATTAACTTTTAAAAATTTAAAAGTTAAACTTAAATGCTGATGGGAGTTTGACATATTATTTGATGATTTATTCTTCCCCAGATTACTTCAAAAGGATAAATATTTTGGTATTGGGGGTCCTATTTAATATCACAATGTTTTTGATGCAGAAGAATCTTGAACAAAATAAACACAGGCATATAACTACCCCAGATAACTAATTCATACAATTATATATATATTTTTAGGACCAAAACTCTGCTTTGATCCTTTACCTAACTCAACTCTTATTCCAAGTTTTTCATTAAAAGGTAAGTTTCAGTAAACAGACGGGTGGATAATGATATTGTGTCAAGATGATCAGGTTTTATGTTTTTAAACTATTAAATTGTTTAATCCACATTTTAAATATACTATTGCTAACAATACCACGGATATCTGAACTGTTGGCTTTTCATACATAAATTAAAGTCCCTGTAATTGTTGATGATATATAGATGTAATCAATTCAGTAAATCCATTTCATCTAATTACTTTCTGTCAACTTGTAGTGTCAGTCCCATAACTCAATTAGCAGGCCAAGAGGGCTCAATTAGCAGACCAAGAAGGTGCACCAGACCAAATACAAATTTGCTGCATCTCAGTCACCAGCTCATAGTTTTTTACAGTACAGTTTGTTCATTTGACCTACATGTATTGCCCATATTTCATTATAGTATTTAGCACATTTTTTTCTTTTCCAGACACCTGTAAAAATATTAGTGATTCAAAGTATGCAGACTACTATTATCCCCACATGATGGAAGGCACTGTGCGCTGTATCTCAAGATGTTTCAATGGCACTCAAGATTCCATGAATTGCTACAATGGTGTTTGCCGACTCTCTGAAATAGGCCCCTACTGCAGGTAAGTAGACAGAAGGAGTAGGAGAATTGAAGGACTCCTTAGATTCATCAGCCCACCAACTACTTAAATCTTGAATAGTTACTAGTTCCAATAGGGTGCTCTTTCACTTGGTTTTACCTTGGAACAGTTGCTTATGATCCATGTATGGAGAATTTTTTTGTCTGTCTGTGTCATGGACAGATTATTTTTTGATTACATGGAAACTCTCCCTACTGGTGCAGGATGGAGATTTGATTAGAATGATCCCCCTAGGGATCTATGGATTTCCAACAGAAATTTGGAAAGTTTCCCAATAACCATGAAGGTAGTTCCACAGTGACTCTCTGAGTTCCCTAAGAAGGATTTGGTGAAAGTCTTGAAAGAAATTGCTTCCAAATGGCTTTTCCCTGTATGCAGACTCAGCAGCATTTCATGGTTCAATACAAGAGATTCCCAGAACACTGAAGACATAAAATTAAGAACCAGCACAAAGAAAGTTGGATATGAACTCAAAGTTCTGCTTCCACTGTGCAGTAAAAATGGTTTTGTTACTTCTCCAATCTTCGTGTATCAGCAGACTGTCATTCAATGACATTAGTTAGAGCAACTTAAACTCTCTTTGGGAATGGCAGATGACAAAATCTGTCTCACAGCTCTTGCAAAAAGAACATGTGAAGTTGTGCAAAATATTGTTTCTTGAACATTCATACCTGAATCACAGTAACACCCTTTTTAGCATTTGGATCTGTCCTCTGGAGATTATTTGGAAGCAGAACTGGTCCAAAATGTAATGGAGTGCTTTCTGATATATCTAGTTTGTTTCAGTAGAATCCCACACATCTTGCAAACCTTGTTTTGATTCCCAGTATATTTCTGAGTACTTTGTTGTTGCCTGCAAAGCTGTTTATGGTTGTGTTCCTCAATTTCAAAACAGAATTTTCCCAACCTATGCACTCTGTTTGGAAATGTACGCTGGTGAGTTGCTCTCTCCAAATGGCCTGGGTGCTGACAGAAAAGCTGAAAGCTTTTCCCATAGCTATTCCAAATCTGGAATTCTATTTTTCTATCTTGAGAAGTTAGGATTGCTCTCTCCATACCAATGTTCCAAAACCAGGCGAAGGCCACCCTCTTACATCAGACATCAGAAGATAGATTGCAGAAATTTGACATCAGCACAGATCCTGAAAATTGTGATTTGATGCCTACCAGTATTATATTATTTGATTTTTATGTTTAATTATTTTAATTTTATAATTTTTAATGACATTTTTCTATTGGGAGTTATCTAGAACCTTTTTTTAATTACAAAATAAAAAAAAGAAAGAGCCTTCTTTATCAATTCCTCTCTCTTTCCCATAGTTGCAATAAATCGGATATGTTCTGGTACCTGGATAGTTATTGCCAATTACCTGTCCAAAAGACTGCCCTGGGCCTTGGTCTTGCACTGGCTGTGCTTTTTGTGGTCAGTATCACCCTGACTGTGTTCCTCATCAGAGCCAAGCGGAAGAAATCCAAAAATAGGTAAGAAACATAAGAAGTCCAATATTACAAAATAACAGAGGAGAAGATGGATCCTTATAATATCTGACTGAAGAGTATGTTGAAATGTGAGAACGCCAGAAACTCTGAAACGTTTAATATACAGAATAAACAATTATTCCTGCTTATTTAAGGATAGGTCCATACATTTGGTTTGACCCATCATTAGTATTCAGGAATAGATAATAGCATCTCCCTTCCAATCCACTCCATTGCAAATGCAACTCTAGTCAGGTTTTCCAGCTTTATGGAATATTATGCCTTTCAGAGAGGCCTGATGTCAGAATCCAATCATATTTCATCTTTAATTATCAAATATAGAAACTCCCAATTCTGCCTTCTTTGGATTCTGCCATAAGAGGGAGAGAAGGGGGAGAACAAAGGGGCTTTATGGCCCTCACTTCCTTCAGTAGACTTCAAAGAGCTGAATGCTGAATGTGTGTTTATTGTAACCTATTGTAACCTCAAAGCGTTAGCATCCAGAGAACATTAGCATTAACAAAGAAGAGTATTTGCCTTTCATGTAGTTATCTGAAGTCTCCATCCAGACGGAAGAAAGAAGAAACGGGGTGGAATTGTGATACTTGAAACTATCACTGGAAGGGGGGTTGATTGGGTGGGACTACTGGGGAACCCCTTAAAACCTTGAATGGGAGAGCTTGGACCCCAAGTCCTGTCTAGCATGCCTGCAACCATTTTCTCTTAATAAAGGATTCCTGTTGGAAGAATTATTCCAAGAGTTCTGTCTTCTTAAGATGCAAAGTGGGGTGGGTCCTTACATTAGACAGGACTTGCAAAATTAATCCACCTGGAAGGAAGACCCTTGCCGGGGGATTTTGCAAAAATTTACCATGTCAGACAATGGAGCAAGAGAGGGGGAAAACTCCCTGGAAAGAGAGCCGCTGACCCAGTTGGAACCTTGCCAGATGTTGGGATCCGAGAGGCCAGATTCCTCAGGAGAAGAAGTGGTGGAGACACAGGACCACAAGCCTCGCTGGTCGATGGGCGTTGGAAAGAAAAGTGAGTGGGGAAAGGAATCAAGAAAGGTGACCCTGAGACGGGGGACCAAGCAACCAGAATGGAAGCAGGAGATGGAGAAATCCCTGCACGCAAGTGAAGAGGGAGGAAGCTGGGCACCGTACTCAGACTGGATCCTAGAGAAAGCTATTGACCTGATGAAGAGAACTCTCAGCTCCCTAGGAGAGGAGAATACTGAACCCTACGGCTGCCCCAGTTCCTGGAGCCGCAAAGGGAGAGACACCGAGGGGGACGTGGAACCTGCAACCCCAGGGACATCTACTGATCCAGGAGCTCCCACCCCCTACCGGACCACAGATGGCAATCTGGACGGAAGGCACTACCACCCACAACAGAGGCACCGATCCATTCCAAGACGTCCACCGTTGGAAGTGAAATTCAAAGGGGAGCCAACACGCTTGGGGTTTTTTCTAACCCAAGTCCTCAGCTACATGGAGGAATATGGGCAGGATATTCCCAGCGACAAAGCCCGCATCCGGATCGTGCAATCTGCCCTGGATGGACCAGCTGCGGATTGGGTAGTGAACTTGCATGACTCCAATGCCCCAGAACTCAGTAACTTCAACCGTTTCATGTCCTCTTTGAGAAGACGATTTGAAGACCCCCTGGCTGATCGCAAAGCCCGTGAAAGAATAACAACGATGAGGCAGGGCAAACGCCCAGTGGCTGAGTATACACAAGAATTTCGGGCCATTGCCAGCAAACTGAATTGGCCAGAAGACATCCTCCTTGGCCATTTCAAAGACGGACTAAACTATGATCTATATGATGCTTGCCTGCCCCGAGGGGACCCACATCGACTTGAGGAATGGTACGTCTTGGCAGAGGAAGCAGAGATCGACATATTGAAGAGGCACCGCCGAGGAAAACAATGGAGCCGCCCCCCGCCTGAGCTGACACACCAACCGGTGAAATCATCGGATACAGCCAAGAAGCAAATGAGATGTTTCAAGTGCGGAAGAGAAGGGCATCGAGCTGTAGAATGCCGCTCAAAGGCCCCCCAGCACAACCCAGACAGATCCCCAATCAACAAACCCGGAAAGTATTCAGCTAAGCCAAAAGAAACGGCCATGAGAATGATGGAAATTGCAGAAACCCCCACCTCTGCTCACCAAGGGGAAAGGACTCCAGCCTACACCACAGGGCCGGTGGATGCCTCAGATGACAGCTCGGAGGGCGAACCCCTGGTAAGTGGATGCATCACACCCATCTTCAAAACAGTGACTATATTAATCCCCCCCATGCCCGAAGCTGTGAAGGTGAAAGCCTTAATAGACTCTGGCTGTACCCGCTGCCTCATTAGCCCAACACTAGTGGGGAATCTGGGCATCCCATCCAGGAGACTGGAACAACCAATCTCATTTGGCCAGCTAGATGGATCCATAGCAGGGGGGGTGCCAGCTACCCTAGCCACTTTGCCAATACATCTCTCCCTGGGCAACCATGAAGAGGACTTAACGTTTGTGGTGACCCCAGGTATGGAATGCCCAATGATTCTAGGGATGGAATGGTTGAAAAAATGGAACCCCTGGGTAAATTGGAGGACGACAGAAATCAAATTCCCGAAGGGGGACCCTATGGACTTAAAACCCCAAGGGAGGCTACCAGAATCAAGAATAGAAAAAGCATCCATAGGAGAGGAAAAAAGATTAACAGAAATACCAGAGGAATATAGGGACCTTGCTGAAGTCTTCAGTGAGGAGAGGGCGAATGAGCTTCCCCCCCACCGACCCACAGACTGTACCATTGAATTCAAGCCTGGGGCAAAACTCCCGAAGCCCAGATTATACTCCATGAGCCCAAAGGAGAAGGAGGAAATGGAAAGATTTATAAAAAAAAACCTGGAGAGAGGTTTCATTGAGCCAGCCAAGCCTAAAGTGGCTGCCCCGGTCCTTTTTAGAGAGAAGAAGGACGGCTCTTTACGTTTATGCGTGGATTATAGGGCCCTGAATACAATCAGTGAAAGCAACCTATACCCGCTGCCCCTCATGAAAGACATGCTGTCACACCTATCGAAAGGGAAAATTTTTTCTAAACTAGACTTAAGGGAAGCTTACTATCGAGTGAGAATCAAGGAAGGGGACGAATGGAAGACTGCATTTAACTGCCCCATGGGGTGCTATCAATTCAAAGTCTTGCCATTTGGATTACAAGGGGGCCCTGCAGTCTTTATGCAATTAATCAATGACGTTCTAAGGGAGCACCTGTTTAAGGGGGTCCTTGTTTACTTGGACGACATTCTTATCTTTACCGAAACAAAAGAAGAACACGTCAAACTTGTCAGAGCGGTTTTAAAGAAGCTGCGAGCCGCTCACCTATATGCCAAACTCTCAAAATGCGAATTCCACCAGGAAAGGATAGACTACCTAGGCTATCGCATATCCCCACAGGGCATTGAAATGGACCCAGAGAAGGTCAGAGCAGTATTAGAATGGGCACCACCCCGCACAAGAAAGCAACTACAAAGTTTCCTGGGCTTTGCAAATTTTTACCGCCAATTCATCCCCTCATTTGCACAGATAGCCTTGCCCCTCACTAACTTACTAAAAACGAAGGGAACACCCTCAGTAAAACCTAGCCAGCCACTAACATGGACAATGGAGTGCCAAGCAGCGTTTGAGAGACTAAAGAGACTTTTTTCTGCCGAACCAGTACTAAGGCACCCAGACATGGACAAGCCCTTCATAATACAGGCAGATGCAAGTGATGTGGCAGTGGGGGCTGTGCTATTACAAGAAAATGATGATGCAGTATTGCAACCCTGTGCATATACATCTAAGAAACTCACGGAAACAGAACAGCGCTGGCCCGTATGGGAGAAGGAGGCTTATGGGATACGTTGGGCATTACTCACGTGGCGACAGTTCCTGGAAGGCAACAAAATCCCCTTCCAGGTATGGACTGATCACAAAAATTTAGAAGCCCTGAAAACTTCCAGGAAACTCAATCCCAAACAAGCCCGCTGGTCCCAGCATTTTCACCAATTCCAATTTAAGCTCAAACATTTACCAGGAAGAAAGAACTTCCTGGCAGATGCACTATCTCGCATGCCCCAATATAACAGCGCACGAACCACAGACTCTAGACCAATAATGGCAGAGTCACAACTGGCAGCGCCAGTAACCACAAGAACCCAAGCCAAAATAAAACCACAACTGGACAGCCAAACTGGGATTGAATTCAGAAAAAGTTTGGAAACAGATGATTGGTTCCAGAAAAACAAACATGTGTGCACAATGAGAGACGGATTGCCTTGGGTAGGGGAAAAGTTATATATACCAACAACTCAAAGACTAACTTTCATGCAACTTTGCCATGACACAAAATCAGCAGGGCATTTTGGATTTGTAAAAACTTTACACTTAATTAAACGGCAATTTTGGTGGCCATCAATAAAAAAGGACATAGAAAGTTATGTTGCCAGCTGCCCAACCTGTGCATCAGCAAAGAGGTTGCAAGGGAAATCGCCAGGGCTGTTACAACCAGTGGCAAGTCCCTCAGCCCCCTGGAGGGAAATAGCCATGGATTTTATAGTGGAATTGCCTGAAAGCAATGGGAATACTGTTATCTGGACAGTCACGGACCTATTTTCCAAACAGGTGCACTTTATCCCTTGCCAAAAAATTCCCACTGCAAAGGCCTTAGCAAAACTTTTCATCCAGCACATTTACAGATTGCACGGGGCACCCCAACGCATCATCTCTGATAGGGGAGTGCAATTTACGTCTGCATTTTGGAAGGAATTTTTATCCCTCTTAGGGACCACTCAGGGATTGACATCTAGCCACCACCCTCAAGGAGATGGACAAGCGGAACGGTGCCAGTCGGTACTTGAGCAATATTTGAGATGTTTTTTTAAATTTCCAACAGAGTGATTGGACGGACTTACTTCCTTTTGCAGAAGTTGCCTACAATAATGCAGTCCACTCCAGCACAGGCTACACTCCTTTTCAAATAGCCAACGGTCAAAGTTTCAACCCTATGCCAGAGTTAACCCCAAAAGAACCAACGATCCCTTCACTGAAAGAATGGATGGAAAACCTACAAAACACCTGGCCAATAGTCAGAAAATCACTAGATGAAGCTAGGCGGGCATACAAAGCACAAGCCGATAAAAAAAGGGTTGAGCCTACACCATTCATTATAGGAGAAATGGTGTACTTATCTACAAAATACCTAAAGTCCCTACAGCCCTGTAAAAAACTTGGACCAAAATATATAGGACCTTTTCCAATTAAAAGGATCATAAATCCAGTAACAGTAGAATTAGAATTACCCAAAAACCTCAGGCAAATACACCCAATTTTTCATTGCAGCTTGCTGAAAAGAGAGCATCAGTCACCTCTACGGCCAAAAATCCCCCCCCCACCACCTCCAATCATGGTGGAGGGGGAACAACACTTCGAAATAAAAGAGATCCTTGACTCTAGGAGATATCATGGAACAACTCAGTACCTAGTTGCCTGGAAACACCTCCCTGCCTCACAAAATGAGTGGGTCCATAAACGTCACGTCAGAGCCCCGAAGCTATTGAAGAAGTTTCACACAGAGTATCCTAACAAGCCTAACTAAATTTTTTACTTGTGTTTTCTTTCAGGTGGATCTCTCTTATTGTTAAGAGGGGCCGGATGTCAGAATCCAATCATATTTCATCTTTAATTATCAAATATAGAAACTCCCAATTCTGCCTTCTTTGGATTCTGCCATAAGAGGGAGAGAAGGGGGAGAACAAAGGGGCTTTATGGCCCTCACTTCCTTCAGTAGACTTCAAAGAGCTGAATGCTGAATGTGTGTTTATTGTAACCTATTGTAACCTCAAAGCGTTAGCATCCAGAGAACATTAGCATTAACAAAGAAGAGTATTTGCCTTTCATGTAGTTATCTGAAGTCTCCATCCAGACGGAAGAAAGAAGAAACGGGGTGGAATTGTGATACTTGAAACTATCACTGGGAAGGGGGGTTGATTGGGTGGGACTACTGGGGAACCCCTTAAAACCTTGAATGGGAGAGCTTGGACCCCAAGTCCTGTCTAGCATGCCTGCAACCATTTTCTCTTAATAAAGGATTCCTGTTGGAAGAATTATTCCAAGAGTTCTGTCTTCTTAAGATGCAAAGTGGGGTGGGTCCTTACACCTCCAATATTTTGTTCCATTTTAGTAGCAGCTCCAGCTCTGACTGGCTGCAATATCTGGTATGTTGCTGCCCCATGCGTTGAGCTCTAGATTTCCAGACTGCATTGTTCTTCACATTTTTTAAAAGTAGTATTTCAGTCAATAAAGCAATGGCTCATTGAATCAATGAAGTTTACTTCTCTCAGTAGCTACCCTTTCAAGATCTGCTCAGGCCAGGTATAACATGCTACTCTTGCACTCCAGTATGTGCACAGGGTTCTCTAAAGTCTATTCTTTTCTTCTCCTGTTTTTTTTCCTTTTAACAAACTTTAAGTTGCAATATAGGGATATTATTTCATTTATATGAAACTAACCTTCATTTCTACAAAGCAGAACAATGGTGTTACCATAAGGGAAAAAAATAAAAAATAATCTAATTTAGTGACCAAGGTGGAAATGTGGGCAGGGAATATGTATGTGAAGACATCCATGTTTGCAAACATCTGGGGAAGCAGAGGAAAAGTGCCGGGAGGGAAGGGAGGGTACAATCTCTAAAAAGAAAATGCAGTCACTGGTAGACTGGCTCATGTGGGAGCCAGCCCAATTTGGCTTGCCTTCTCTGCAAGAACAAAAAGTGAAAGCAGCAGAGGGAATGACTGCTCTGATCTTGGAGTGGCCATTGCCTGGACTGAGCATCAGTCCAATCCTATTGCCAACCCACTATAGTCCACAATTTCTGAAGCTGGCTTAGGAAACAGCTGAGAGCAGCAGGGGAGATAATTGGTTTTGGGTTCAATGCAAAATTGCCCTAACAGGTAAAAGGATATCATTTTAGAAAAAGAAATATTTGGTTACCTGCAATGCAAGCGAGAAGTGAAAAGAATCATCTGTCCCATGAAAATAAGCTTTATCTTGTGTTTTTTATACTGACCTGTCTTTGTTATTGCAGCTGGTCTGCTGATGCTGACACCTGGTATGGAGAGGATGCAGATGAAGAATGGATACCTTCAGGCAGTCTGAACATTATGAATAAGACAGCGGTCTCATCTTGGGATAGTAAGAATTCTTTCTGCCATGAGGAAGATGGTACTGGTGGCAAGACTAGGCAGCATAGAAGTTTTCTGTCTGAGGGTCAGGATTTTGGTTTCCAGAGTTTAGACCAAAAGTATGATGAAGTGTAAGGAGCTGTCATTATGTCCCTATAGGCTATAGATAGGATGTTGAGAGTATGTGTGTGTCGTAGTCATTCTAATGCTATGGATTGCTTTTCTTTAGAATATCAAGACAGAAAGAAAATGGTAAACCTATCACCTCACCCAATAAATACTTCACTGCAGGTATGTACAGCAGTATAATTGTGTAAGTTAGAGAAGGGCATCTCAGTCTGTATGACTATAAAACATGTTGGCTACTAGGAATAGATTTAGTTTCTCAGAGATGAATTAGTTAAATTGAAATTTATGAATAGGTATCTATGAAGTCTTCTGGTATATTGGAACTGTAAAAAATTTTTTGAATAGAGGTGGGGGTCCTTCAAGGATTTTTATTCAGGCTTATTCTTTTAAAATTGCTCATAAATGATCTGTCCTTATAGGGATGACTAGCTGAAGTGGCCAACTTGCAGTTGATACCAAATTATTCAAGATAGCAACACATAGAATGAACTTATTTATGTATTAGAATTGCTTTTATTCAACTTGTGACTCTAAGTGGAATATTTTAATACTAAGTGGAATAGTTTAAAGAATAATCTACAGCACATATAATATGATACAGTAAAATTATATAGCAACAATAGTAGTAAATACTATCAATGTCAATTCAGTATAATGACAATATGCTGCTGTTACATATAGCAACATCAAACAACCGAATTCATATCAATTCAGATACATTTCTCATGCTTGTCCCAATCCCCAAATGAAGATCTAAAAAGCCACATTTTAAAAGATTATTTTCAGAATAGCACTAGAAGTAGCACTTAGATTTATATACCCCTTCACAGTGCTTTACAGCCTCCTCTAAGTGGTTTATAGAGGATTAATCCTCATTTTACCGACCTCGGAAGGATGGAAGGCTGAGTCAACCTTGAGCTGATGAGAATCGAATTGGCAGTCAGCAGATTTAGAAGGCAATACTGCATTCTAACCACTACACCATCACAGCTCTTTATATTAGGAATATTAAGAGCAAGTATACTGTTCTTATATTTGGTGAAAGGGCATCCCACAACTGGGAGCTCCTGAACAGATTTCAAGACTCTTCTTGTTGCAACTCTTATAGAGCAGGGATTCTCCCTAGGCATGGCTTGGCTGGAGCAGGTAGTTTTTAAAGGTAGCCAGTTCCCAAACTATGTAGGACTGTAAAGATGGTCACTAGCCCCTTGAATTGCATTTGGAAACAAACCATTAACCAGTGCAGCATCTGCAATATCGTTCTTATATGAGAATATAAGGGTTTTTGTTAACACGTGGGCCCTTGGACTTGGCATGATTTGCAGTTTTTAGCCGGTCTTCAACGGCAGTCCCATAGGTGGCACATTGCAGTAGTCCACTTGGGAGGATAACAAAACAGAAATACTAACACATTTTAAGAGCTACAAAAGACTCTTCCCCAAACGGATGAGCAAGTTCATCTTTGTGTTTCGTCACTGACACTGGCATAGAAATGTGTATGCTGATTGGTCTGAATCATGTAACTGATCAGGAAAAAAAAATCCTGGAATTGCACTGGATGGCACAGTGAAAGCCACAGTTGAGTGTACTGTGTTCTTCTGACTCATTGGTAGACTCCAATTTTTACAGCAAACCTCCTGGGAAGCCAGGATCTATGGGATTTTCTTTTCTACTGCAGCTTGGCAATAAAAAGTCTTAGAACTTTTGTCTAGATTAGTGGTCACATTTAAATTAATTTAAATTGCATATTATTTTAAGAGTTAATAGCCTTATGTCATACTTTGTTTTGAAGAAACAGTAAACTGTCAGTTTATACTTCCTTTTTTGTGATTGCATTTCCAGAAGCCAACTGAATTTTATCATGGGACACATCCTGAGTCTTCCTCTTGAGCAACTGAGATAAATATCCATCAGTGGGCTGGTGGATCTGATAAGTGGCATTGCTAAAGTCTACTTTCCCAATTGTTTCAGTTCTTAAATCATCAATTTATTATTCAACCAAAGAAACCATTGAAAAAGATATTGAATAAAACAATTAAGAACATTGAAATTGCTTGAATAAACAATTTTATATTTTATTTCATTGAAAAGGGAAAGAGTTTATAGTTGTTTCTTTAACATGGTTTAGATCCTCTAATCTGGATATATATTGTTTTTAAACTTGATACTATATGATAAACTAGACCGATTCGCTTTTTCTGAAACTGTATGAAACTTAATATAATTGGGGGAATTAGAACAATCCTTCTACAAATGTTTTTTTTTATAATTTGATTAAAGAAACTACTGAACCCCAGTTTTCGTTCTTCTTCTGTTGCTTTAATTTGATTAAATTCATTAAATATGTACATTTGAATAAAAATAAATTATTTTAATTATATTTAATTAAACAACCAGTTTACTGTAGCAGTTAAGATCTGGCCTAGAAATCAGGAGACTGGGAGTAGTAGCCCCTGGCTGGGTGACTTTGGGCCAGTATCTCTCTCTGTCTCAGCCCAAGCCACCTCATAGGCTTGTTATGCAGAAAATAGGAGGCTAGAATGTTCGGTATGTTTGCTGTATTGAGTTTTCTCTCTCTCTCTCTCTCTCTCTCTCTCTCTCTCTCTCTCTCTCTCTCTCTCTCTCTCCCTCCCTCCCTCTCCCTCCCTCCCTCCCTCCCTCTCTCTCTCTTCACTCACCCCCCTCACAAATAACATAATAATAATTACATTAGAAATCTCCACTTTACAATATGTCTTCAAGGATATAGTTGGCAGAAGAAGTGGTACTGTTAAAAAGATGACTTGATTAGAGGTCAGCTTTCCAGGCGTGATGCTCATAAAACATTGCCCTGGCAAATCAACTGTAACACTAATAAAAAATCTGATGGCCCAGAGTCTGGTTCTCAGTGAAGTATTTGGTAATTCAGGAATATGTAATGTGTAAATATAACACAGCAAAAATAATACATTATGTGTATATAACTAAACACAGACAAAAATAACATTAATTATATATAACTAAGGCTTAATATTCCCATAAAGGTTGGTTATATTACTCAAAATTGTTAGTTAATAGTGTTATATGCTCCTGGCTACTTTCCTTCGTGACCAGAGGCAAGCTTGCCTGACCAATAACCAGCCAAGACACAGTGAAGGCCTTTTGTTTCATTTATTGCAATAAGTGGGGAGAGAAGCTATCAAAGCTTGGTTCTCTCCAAAGTTCCAACCCAAAATATTCCCTTCTTTATCCATCCCTGTCCCGGCCGCTACATCCCTCCTCTTTCTCCATTGGCTAAGATACTATGAGATTACACTCTTTTTGTCCGCTTCTTACACATTTCCTGCTAACATATTAAATCATATTCACATATACAATAATAATAAGAAAAATTAAACATTTAAATAGTTATTTTAAACTCTGTGGATATTTATGTCCCCCTTGTAGAACAATAGGTTCTTTCCTGTTTTTCAATTCTGTGTGCCTTTCCTGGCTAGCCATTTCCTCTTACAGCTATTTTTTTATAGTTTGTCTTTTTCCTTTTCCCACTCTAAGATCCAACTAATTTTTGCCTATGTGTTTATCTTACATCCTTCCTTTATGTTCTCCTTTCCTGTTTCCCAACCATTATATTTTTTTTCTCCACTCAGTAAATTTCCACTGCAGCAAATTCAATTTTAAATTTCTTTTTCAATATTAAATTTTTGAAGACCTTTTCTTTACTTCTATCAAATCCCCCCTTTTAATTTTTATTATACTGAAAGGTCTTCATTATCATGCTTAGAAAATCTTATAACCATTAACTATATAACTTCTTCTTTTCCTAAGGCTTTCCTAAAAGCTTTTCGTACAGCTTTAGTTAAAGTAGATGCACATGAAGGAATACATTACAGACATGCACAACACATAAGCCCTATAACCATTAAAAAAATTAGGCCAAGAAACATTTGTCTTAACCATTCAGTGTTGGGAAACCAATTAGTTAACCAACCCCAATCACTCCACATATTTTCATACTTTTGTTCAGGAGCTTTAGCCACTTTCCTAATTCCTTTTGCAATATCCATTACTACTTCATGATTGTCATCTACCTTTAAATCCCACAAACAAGTTTTTACCTTTATTTCTCAGGCTGTTCTGGTGTGTTGTCTTCAGTAATATTAGAATTAGAATCCACCCCTCATGATTATTACACAGTATTTCATACCCACAAATTGATCCACAATCACAACAGCAATAACAGCAACAGCAATCACACTGACAATAACAAAAAATATACATTTACCACCTAATTCTTACAATTGACAATTCTACGTTTTCAGTTTCTAATGGTATGACTTCTGTCTTAGTTATTAATTTTATTTGTAACAAACCACTTTTACTTCTCTCATGATTCACCACCAGCATCTTTGTTCTTCATCTGAGGTCACCTGGAATTCTAATAGAGATATTCAAAATAGGTAGGGGTTCTGGTCCACTACTCATTCAAGCCCTTTTAAACGTGGCTTTCAGTCCTTGTCCTGGAATGACCATCCAACCTCTTTCAGGTCCAGTCATTACCTTCCCTCGTATGTAGTGAGTCCAACCCTTCTCAGCCCTCCGGACAGCAGATTCAATATAAGGAACTTCCCTTCTTTGGTTTTAGAAGTTCCTCCTTCCATTTACGAATGAGCACCCACTGTCCCGGCTGAATCTTATGGATTGGAAATTCCAAAGGAGCTGTTTGTTCCACCAAGCCTTCCTGACAAAGAGAAGACAGAGACCCCAGTACTTGCTCTACATTTAGCTATTTGTCTCCCTCCTTTGGGAGCCTTAACCTTTTATTAACCATTTTACATATCAAACATCCCTCTGTGGCCCTTTGGGCTATCCCATAAATTCCAAGGGTAGCATAGAATTTCAAAACATTTCTACCTATGCTTTAATTCCACAATGACTCCCCTCATATAGTTTTTGGATCACCATTCTTGCAGTATCTTGTGATAACCATAGGATCCCCTTAAGACCATTTTTGTTGTTTGGTAATTATAAATCTACTATAGCCTCAATCCTTTTACTATCTATTTTCCTTTCCCCTTCAACTATAATATATCCTAGATATTTTACTTCCTTTCATACCAATTGGACTTTATTTGATAGACACCCTCAATCCTTTCTTCTGCCAAAAAGTTGCTTTCCCATTTCTTTATAATTCCCAGAATAAGATTTTACAAAACTGGGAATCTACATAAAAAAGTATTTGCTTCCACAGCTTAAAAGTGGAAGAAAGAAAAAAGAAAAATAAGTTGTCCTATGTCAGATAGACTATACTTATCCATGGAAGCTCTATCAAAAATTGTTTCATTTTTCTTTCTCCTCCCCCTTTCACCATGATTAGATACCATGTTACAAAATATAACTCAATAAACTTATTGTAAAGTACACATTTAGGATTTTAAAAGGTAAAGCACATAGGCTCACCGATCAGCATTGAGTCAACATTTTCTGGAATGCCTTTTGTCTCAGGCAGATAATATTCAAGTCACTCTTGTGGCAGCACATCAAAGAACAACAGGATAGCTAAGAAGACAAAAGATTGTCTCCCCCTTCCCCCACTCATCAAACCAGACAGAGTAAAAATGTATACAAAACTTTGCTTTCAGAGAACTTGAAACAGCCCTCAGGAAGAAAAATGCCATAACATTTACAGAAGTGGCTTGCCAAAACCTCCCTCCTAGGGCTGAACAAAAATAAATCAGCCCCAAAACACTCAGCCATCTCTCATGGCCAAAGCAGGATTTGAACTCAAATCCAGCCTTGAAGCCTGTGGCTATAACCCTGAAACCAAATTGGTTTTCCATAAAGATTTCCCTTCCCCTCCTGGGCTCCAAGGAAAAGGAAAACAAATTGAACACACACAGTATGCAGCAATTAATCAACTCTTTTGCAGTAGCAAGGAGTCCCAAAGATACATATTTTATCAGATATTAATAAAACATCATAGGATTGTTCCTTTTTGACAAGAATACCCTCAAATGCATTATTAAGGTTAAATCCAAACTAAAATGCAAAGGAAAACCACTGAAACATGCCACACATACAAAAAAAATATCAGAGTTGGATGGGGCATTAGAGGTCCTCTAGTCCAACCCCTTACTGAAACAAGAAACTCTATCCATTTCAGACCTTATCAATTTCTAACCTCCTCCCAAAAATTTCCAATAATGAAGCATCCACATTTTCTGAAGATAATTATCCCACTGATTAATTATTCTTACAGTCAGGAAATTTTACCCAATTTCTGTTCTTAAAACAACAACAACAAAAAAAAAACCAAATATGCAGACAGAAACTGCTTCCCCCCTTTTTTTCTTTCTTTTTTCTGTATCTCTAACTTTTCCAGGGCAGAAATTCTTGGGTTAAAAAAGTAACAAACTAAACATGCTTAAACAGGGCTTTTCAACCTTTTCACCCATAGTACCACTTTTAGGATATGGCAATATCCGAGTATCACCAGTCGCCTAGCAAGGTGTCAAAAACTTGATGACCAAAAAAGAAAAGGGAAAAACTGGTAAAGTACAGGTAGTCCTCAACTTACAACAGTTCGCTTAGTGACTATTTGAAGTTATAATGGCACTGAAAAAGTGCCCCCCAAGCCACAGCTGAGCAAGACACCTGCCTGCCCGCCCAGCCGCGCTCTTCCTCCTGTCTGAGGTTTTCATCATTGTGAGCATTTCTGTTGGTGATTGGCAGCGGGAGTGGGTTGGGGGGTGTTTGGTTTTTATTCCCCCCGTCTGCTGGGTGGTTGCAGCAGGTTTTGGTCATGTCACCTGACTCTGAGACACTGTGACCGCCATAAATATGAATCAGTTGCCAAGCATCTGAATGTAAATCACAAGACCCTGGAGATACTGCAACATTCCAGCTGATTGGCACTTCTTCTGGGCTCAGCAGCTGGAGCCAGGCGCTGATCCAGCTGGAGCCTGGCACTGATCCTGGCGCTTCCACTTCCGCTGAGCTCTGACAGCCTTGCAGCTCTAGCCATCTCTCGCTCAGGCTTGTGCGGTGCTGCCACCGGTTCAGCTCATTCCCCTCCCCCACTACCACTTTTTTAGGATGGTTGCGTACCACCTGCCAGGTGCCAATGTACCACAGGTGGTACCCGTACCACTGGTTGAAAAGCCCTGTAATATATATATAATTTATTTTGTGGTCACAGACCAAAATGCAAGTGCAACAAAAGAAAACACAAAAAAAATATAATCGCAAACAATTAACACCAGAAGCCTTGGCTAAAGGGAATTACAACGTTCTCCTCTAATAGTTACAGCTCTTAAA